ATTTCTTCAGGTCGTCGACATGTAGGTTCGGCTTCTCCATTGACTCATCCGGAAAAACCCGGGATAACCATGATGGGCGGGCGATATGACGAGTGTACCGGCCTACATCATCGTGTCCGAATCGTAGACCAGTGATTAAGCAGAACTCCTTCCGCCCAAAACAAGTATACGCTGGTGGAAAATGAAACCATATCTCTTCCTCACCACGTTGTATACTGTCGGGTAGATTTGATGTCATGGTCTGAAGCCATAAATGGGTCAAATTAGCATCTCCACCCGGATGCTGTACTCTCAGCCATGGCCCGAAGCAGGTTTCCTCAAACAATTGTCTTTGAGCAGGTGAAAGCTTCGAAGCAATTGTAGTGGCCAGGCTGACTTTATTTCTCAAGGTCAATTGAGCCGAAAAAAATTTCTACAAAAACAATAAACATACCAAGTTAGATATACCAAAAACTACACTGTGAAGATATACTAAAAACAATAAACATAAAAAGTAGTAGTTTATTCTTGAAACTAAAATTTGCAACACTGTTTTGTCTTTGGGTTGAAATGAAAATCGCAACGAGAGAATCGCAACGCGAAATGACAATCGCAACGAGAGAATCGCAACGCGAAATGAAAATCGCAACGAGAGAATCGCAACACGAAATGAAAATCGCAATGCGATTTTGGTTTCGCGTTGCGATTCTCTCGTTGCGATTTTCATTTCGCGTTGCGATTCTCTCGTTGCGATTTTCATTTCTCTCGTTGCGACAGTCATTCTCTCGTTGCGACTCTTCTGCAAATTGAAACTTGAATGGATTGCATTACTTCAACCAAAAGACAGAACAAAGACAAAGACAAATACTAACTTGAAAATCGCAACGACAGAATCGTAACGCGAAATGAAATCTAAGTGAAATAGTTAATCTATTATTGAAATGACCAGTAAACTTATCATCAGTTTCAATATGAAAAACCTACAATAATGCAAACATTTCAAAATAAAAATAATTAAAAAAACTAACCCTCGGAGGTTGATTTTCCATTTCTGAATATTGTGAGGGATTTCTGACCGTGAATGGTTGTGAGGGATTTCGCCGGAGATGGGGACGGAAATATTCGGAGATAGAGACGGATTTCTTCGCCGTAGAGAGTGAGAGATGGAGATGGGACTGAGTTGTGATTTTAGGTTTTAGGTTATGAGTTGCGATTACGGGATTTTGTCTTAATATTCGTTTTTGTAATTTGAAAATAAAATACGCGTAGCGATTATAATGGCGCTTTAAATATCGCGTTGCGATTTACGGATTCTCGTTGCGATTTACGGATTATCGTTGCGATTTACGGATACGCGTTGCGATATACGGATACGCATTGCGATTTACCCATACGCGTTGCGATTTACGGATACACGTTGCGATTTACGGATACGCGTTGCGATTTATGTGTTCGCGTTGCGATTTTCATATTCGCGTTGCGATTTTGGAAAATCGCAATGCGAATTTGTACTATCGCATTGCGATTTTCAAGAATCGCGTTGCGATTTTGGAAACTGATTTGCGATTCTGGGGATCGCGTTGCGATTTTTATTTCGCGTTGCGATTTTATTGGTCATTTTGACAAATCCAAAAAAAATTGGTTAAAATCGTATATTATAACTTTTTTTTGGTCACTGAGGCGATTTTCTCTTAATAATTTAGATATTAATCGAATAGTTAAAAAAAAGAGGTCGTTAAATATGCTTTCTAAACGTTACTTTTTTCCATAAAAAAGGAAACGGTTATATACATTAGGATTTAATTGTAGGTGTAACGCAGAAACAGTATATTTTTAATTTTAATCACTTTTCATATTTAATATTTGGCTTAATTGTAAAATATACCGTCTTATAGGTGCTCGGACTTTTTTAAAATGATTCAGGTGTCTAACGTTATAAATGTTACTACTTTAGCTGATCGGGCCGTAATTGTATTTAATTTTTTTCCATAAGTGACATGTGTCACATTTTGATAATTTTGATTTAAAAAAAATAAAAATATCATTGTATTTATAAAACCCTATATTCTCTTAAATTACAAAAACTCAAATCTCTAAAAATCTTAAATTCTTAACCCTAACCCACCGTCGTCGCCCTTGCCGACCACGATCACCGTTGTCAACATAGTTACTATCATATTCCTAGTCATATGCCGCCATAGTTGCCACCGGTTGACCGTCGAGATCACGATTTTCAATCTAGGGTTCGTGGGATACAAAACATCGATTGGTTGCGATTTCATAGGGTTATTGATCGTCGGGGATAGGTGAGGTCGGGTGGAGCTTCGTCGACGACAAAGAACGATAGTCGGTGTGGGTTAAGGGTTTGAAATGAGGGTTTTCAAATTTTGGGGCTATTTTAAATTTTTTGTGTTTTTTAAATATAAATTTAAATTTAAATAAAAAAATTTAAAACTACAAGAATACGACATGTGTCACTTAACAGAAAAGTTTAGCGGTTGTTACGGCCTAGGCACCTAAAGTGGTAACGTTTGTAACGTTAGACACTGGATGATTCAAAAAAAGTTTGAATACCTATTTGAGAAAAGTAATATAGTTTGGGTATTTATTTTATAATTAAGCCTTAATATTTTATTACTAAAAACGTGTCCTTTTGCTTTAGAGACTAACTTCACTTATAACATTGATAACATCGTTTTATAAAATATATTTAATAACATCTTTTTAATAATAATAATAATAAACTGTAAAAGTTGCATGGGTTATATAAAATTAATTTATATGCCATGGAAATGGGGAGTAGTTTCCACTATTCAGATTTCACCTTTTCTTTTTTATTAACAAATTTCGTGCTTGTGCTTTTTTTTAAAATGTATGATTAGGGATGGCCACGGGACCAAACACCATAAATTTTGATTCGATTTGTTCTGATCGGATAAGTCTTTTAAAAAAATTTGAATTTGGATTGGATCGAGTCAATTTTTTTTAAAAATATGTTCGGATTGAATCATATTTGAGTTTAAAATGAAAAATACTCAATTTGACCTAACTAAAAAAATAATGTAATTTTATTTTATATATTTAAAGATAATTACAACAATAACCCTTATATATTATTCTTTCAATTAGGTCCCTATCTTATAATGTAAATTTTTTATTGAATAAAAATATTATTTTATATAAATATATTTATTTCGGGTTGGATCGTGTCGAGTTCGAGTTTTATCTCAAAAAATTGGGTTGACTTCGAATCAAGTAAAGTAATCCCTAAACTTAGGTCGAATCGGATTTAAAGTGAAAGCTACATATTTTCGGATTTTTATTATGCGTAGATCTTGTTTGATATTATTTTAGTTTAAATATTAATATATACTTTTTGTTTATTTTTATTTTATAATAATTTAATTTAATTATAATTATAAATTTATTTGACATTTATATTAATTAATTATAATTATAATTTAGTAATTATGCAGGTCATGATTTGGAACTTATTTGAGTATACAGTTTTTTCAGCATAAACGTATATTTTTTTATTAAATAAAAAATATTATATTTACAAGATAAATATCAAGACGCAAACTCACATAAAATGATATAACATAAACATTCTTAATCACTCGATCAATTAATATATCTCGAAGTTTAAAAAATTATGAGAAATTTAAATAAGGTATTAAAATAATTTTTTAAATATTTCTACCAATAAGGAAAGAAAAAGGAAATTTTGATGTTAATGTGTATTGAGCTCACAATATAAAATGAATGAGGTGTTAATTAAATTTTTTTAATCATTTGCTTTATAAATTATTTGGTTAAAGTATGCAACTTATCCCCGATTATATGATATTACTTTATTAAGTCTATCAACTATTAAAAGTTATAAAATGATCATTCGATTATAGATTGTTACTGTATTGAGTTATTCGACTATTAAAAGTTACAAAATAATAGTCTGATTATTCATTATGTTCCAAACTCATCATTTTCTGTTAAGAAGTTGGATGTCGTATGAGCTGGATGTTAATATAATGACTGAGATATAATAGTTGTTTGAGATTCTGTTATCAGATTTTATCATATCACAATCAGCATGTTAATATTTAACTCAAAATGTTGTCAATTTTTAACAGAAAATGATGAGTTTAGAACATAATGAATAGTTGGGTGATCATTTTGTAACTTTTAATAGTCGATAGACTCAACAAAACAATACTCTTTAGTTAGAAGATTATTTTTTTAACTTTTTAGAGTGAATAAATTTAATAAAACAATATTTTATAGTCATAGATCATAGGTATACTTTACCCAAATTATTTACATATTTATGTGATTGAAATTGAGAAAAAACTCAATATTTAATGTATTAGTGTGTATAATACATCGTCAACCACACGATGACACATATATTATGTATACATAAATTAATTTTCGAATATGACATTTACCTAATAAATAAATAAATAAATAAGTTAAAAAGGAACTAACACGATATCTCATCCTATGATTTCATATGTATAAATTATGCATCAGCGTTTAATTTGTTGAATCGAGTAAGAAAAATTTAAGCTATTCAAGTTGATAAGTTTTATTTTATAATTTAAAGTTGATTTAATTTATTTTTTTGAGTTAAGTCTAGTTTATAAAATTTGAGTCGGGTCGAGTCAAATTTTTAAGTTTCTATTTAAATTTAATTATAAATATTTATAATATTATGATATTATTTTATTCTAATTTAAATAATTTTTTATTTTTTTTTCAGCTACAACTTAAATGATATTTTATAAATATATAATACATCTATATTTTTTCATATGTCGTGTATAATATATATATATAGTCGAGATATTCAATTTAAACTTAAAATTTAATTCAATAATTATTAAAAAGTTTAAATTATTATTTGATATATATTCTATAATTCGATTTGAACTGTTTTTTGTTTTAGTTTAGTCCAGTTTATAAAATTACGTAAAAATCTGCTGCTGACTCTAGCATAAACTACAGCTGACTCTACAATAATGTCATCTAAATTCAACACTTTTCCTTGCTATCTTCTTTCTATGATTTTCCTCTCTATATAATCAAACGCCAGAAATCGATCGCTTCCAAACAGAAAAAACAATGGAATATAAAGAAATCATATCTTCTCCGGCTTCGCTCTCTTCATCAACAAGGTAAAATAATTCTTCCTTTTCTTCTCATACGAAAATCCTCGAATTCTCGGGATTTTCGGTGTTTTAACACGGTTTTTTGGGGATCGTGGCAGATGGTGGGGCGGAGACACGGTGGCCGTGGTTACGGGAGCAAACAAAGGCATAGGTTTCGCGGTGGTGAAGAGATTCGCGGAGCTGGGTTTGACGGCGGTTTTGACGGCCAGAGATGTGGAAAGGGGGAAGAAAGCTGCCGAGAAACTGAGGGATCAAGGGCTTCAAAGTGTGCGGTTCTTCCCACTGGATGTAACGGAGGCTGATTCGATTAAAACCTTCGTTTCATGGCTGCAAACAACTTTTGGAGGACTGGATATTCTTGTAAGTCTTCTCTACCTCTCGAATCTTGTTTTATCTAATTTAATTGATTAATGAGTCAAATACAAATTATATCATAAATAACTGAAACAGTCGGATTTGATGCATCGATCTTATTAAGATTATTAAGAAGTAATCAATCATTATTTTATCTATTATGATTATAAAATAATATTTATTATAAACATTTCAATCACCCATGATATATTTGTTGGTGTTCGAATCTAAGACCATTAAAAATAATAATTATTATAATTTGAATTGTGCAATCAACAATTAGTCAATTTAATAGTATGAAGTACTAATTCTCTTAAGTAAAAGTAGGAGTTTGAATTCGGATATTTACGAAGAAAACAAGTTGAATTGGAAGGGTTGTGCCATAATGGGTCTATGCAAAATATAATTCAAAATAATCGAATATCGATGATTAAAAAATATTAAAGAGTAAAAAAAATAAACCTTGATTTAATTTAATTTACATAATATTATTTTTCAAATTATAAATCTAATTTAATCACACTGTAATTAAAATAATATTTTGTTTAAAAAAAATTAATATTCAGAAAGGACGTTAATATCAAACAATGACTTTCCCATTTGGAAAACTATTCTAATCTTTGAAAATAATTCCGTCCACATTATAAAGCTTAATTAGATTAAAACAAGAAAACGAGTTTCACTTTTGATAATGAATTTTCAGTGATTTTTTTCTTTAAAAATATTGGTTCAAACACAATACAAAGAATATTTAAAAAAAACAATATATTATTTACTGCACATATTACTATGATAAATAATTTGGGTGTGTTAACTTAAATAATTAAGATTTGTGGAGTGTTAATCCTTAAAATATATTAGGTGAACAATGCAGGTGTTTCATTCAATGAAATCCATGAGAACTCGGTGGAGTTTGCAGATACTGTAATACAAACCAACTTTCAAGGACCCAAGCAACTCACTGAGTCACTCTTGCCATTGTTTCGCCTTTCACCTTCTTCAAGTCGTATACTTAACATTAGCTCCAGGCTTGGCTCCATTAATGTAAGTTTCTTGCTATATAATCCTCTCCCTTTAAATATAGGATAAATTACAAATTTTATCACTGAACTTTATTCTCTCTTCTATTTTATTTACCAAACTTTAAAAGTTTTTAATTTTCTCTATGAGTTTTTTTGGTAAGTGAACTTTACTCTCACGCCATTTTATAAAAACAAAATTTTCACTAAAATTATGTCGTTTTGCATCTATTAAATTTTAACATCGTTAATAATTTAATAGCTGAGTGAACAAAAAAAACTCAATATATTAGATTTGATGAATAAATTGAAAAAATTTAAAGTATAATAAGTGAAATGAGAGAGATTAAAGTTCAGTTACTAAATTTGTAATTTTTTCTTAAATATAAGGATATTGGTTGAAGTGATTATAGTAATATTTGACTCCATATTTGCAGAAAGTGAGAAACCTCGAGATAAAAGCAATTCTACAAAATGAAAGGCTATCGGAAGAAGAAATCCAGGGAGTAGTAAATACGTTTGTTCAAGACGTGAAGGAAGGGAGATGGCGGAGCCAAGGGTGGCCGGAGATATGGACTGATTATTCAGTGTCGAAACTGGCGTTGAACGCTTATTCTAGGGTTTTGGCCAAGCGATTCCGGGGAAGAAGATTAAGCGTTAATTGCTTTTGCCCCGGCTTTACTCGGACATCGCTGACTCGTGGGCAAGGCACGCACACCCCCGATGCGGCTGCTGAATTCGCCGTTAGCTTGGCCTTGCTTCCGCCGCATCAGTTGCCGACCGGTCGGTTCTTTCTGGGATTTGGAACTTATAATAAATCTAGACTATAGAAACTTGATATAAAATTATTTCTTATTTCTGGAAAAAGAGATAATGCTACAAACGCTATTTATACTTTGATTAAATACTCGATGTGGTACTTTTAGTTTAAAAACGTTTATTTTAATTTTGAAAGTATAATGTTAAAATTAACCCCTAACATTTATTAAAATGACTATTTTGATCCATATTCTTTTTCAGGGTATTTTGGTCCAATGGTTTATTTTACAATAAAAAAAGCTTCTAACATTTGATATGGTAGACACTTTGACCCTTATTATTTTTTCTTCTATAACATTTTGACCTTCAAAGTTACAATTTAGAGTAAAAAGCAATGTTTTTAAAATCGGACTGAACTTTAAACCGGTGAAGTTATTGTTAACTGATTCACTAGTTCAACCGTGGTTAAACCGCGATTGAATCGACTTATATAAAATAATATCTTTTTTAATTTTACATAATATTCAAAGCAATATTTATATATATATATATATAACACTCTTTTTAAGTTTACAATACTAAAAGGTATAAAAATATCACAAATCATAATATATATATAAGTTAAATACCATAATATCAAGTGAAACAAAATAATTCAAATTAACTACAACATAATATTTAAGGTCAATACCTAATGAAATTCATCAACAACTAAATAAAAAAGTACATAATTGATACAAGTATCAATCATCATAACAAACGACGTCGTTTGATTTAATTTAAAAAAAAGAACCGTGTGAACCGTCGGTTCACACCGGTTTTGTCGGTTCCCAACCGGTTTTTTAGCGGTTCATTGCAAAACTGGTTTTGGAGGCTGATCGGACCGGATAGGCAACCGGTTCCCGGTTCAACCGGTCGGTCCGGTCCGATTTTGATAACATTGGTAAAAAGACTCCTATTTGGAATGTTAATCATGTGCTAACTAGTATTTTTCATCTATAGATGGGAGTTTTTGCACCAAAACTGAAAAATTAAGGTCAAAATGCTCTGAAAAACAAAATAAAGGGTAAAATAACTGTTTTAATAAACGTTGAAGCACTGTTTCAGTATTATATCATTTCTGAATTATAGTTGTATTTGGATAACAACGTTAATGTGAATTTTTTATCCATCTCACATGGAAATGATAAAAGATCAAGACACTAGATCCCTTAACCCTTAAGTAAGGTTAAGAGTTAAATTCTTTATAAATAGATCAGTTTGAATTGAAAGGGTCGTTCCATAATAAACTTTTGGGTAAACTACGTATTTAATACATAAATTATTAGTTTTAGTTCGTTTTAGTACCTAAACTTTCAATTTTTTAAAATCATATATGATATTTAGTTTTTGTTTCATTTTAGTACCATACTGTTAAAAAATTAACGCGTTTAGTACCTAAGCTATCAGTTTTAGTCATTTTTAGTACCTAAATTTTTATTTTTTTCAAAACTTAACGTTAAATTTTGAACAATAATACTAAAATTAAATGAAAAATAAATTTTATATATGATTTTAAAAAATTAAAAGTTTAGATACTAAAATAAATTAAAACTAATAATTTAAGTATTAAACATATAATTTATCTTAAATTTTTATAAAATTTGATCTAGAATAATCGATTTATAAATTGGGATACAAATGATTAAAAAAAAGTTAATGCCAACATTGAGAGTTTAGACCAACATGTTACTTAGTGGGCCGTTGTTCTGCTTGCCCATCAATCAAACCCATACACCGATTGCTCCTTTATTTTCTGGATTCAAGTTTGGATCAAAACCCCATCATCGCTTCGGGATTTTCAGGTCAGCTTCGACTCTATCATTTCGTTTTACTCTTTATTTTGTGCAACTGTAAAAAGAAAAGAAATCACCTGGTCTAGTTTCTAGGCGTGAGAGAACGGTTATTGTTTAGCAGAATTTGGGATGAAACACTTTTCTGTTTTAAGTTGGTCTTAAATTTTTACGAATCTAATTTGTCTGAGTGTTATGAGAAATGGGGTTTTCTTGCATGGTTGATTGCTCATCAGTGTTGTTATGATTTGCTACACATTTTCATTGACTTAACTATTGTTCAAAGGATGAACCGATGAAGTATGAACGACGCCTGATTTTGTTGCTGTGAAGTTTTTGCTTGGAACCAGTGTTATCTTTCTTTTTTTCAATTTCGATGCCTTATTTTCTGTTCTGTTTAATATTCTGAACATCGAACTGCTTAGGCTTTTGTTTCCAGAACCAGAAAGCACAAAATAATCTGTTGATATAGAAAATGAATTGCACGATTTTACTTTGTAAGGAACAAGAGAATTAATGTTGCGTTTCAATTTGGTTATTTACTTTTGATCTGGGGAAGGGGATAGAAATCTTGCTTGTCGAATAGGAGTGATGCACCAATCAACAATGAAAGCTCAAAAAGTTTATCCACATGATGTGCTAGATAATTTGGTTTTTCTTCTTGCTTGTCAATGTATAATCGTGTATCACGATTCATGCCAAAGAGGATTCAATCAATTCCTGGCATATAATATTTGAAGAGAGGGAGTGGTTTCTATCATTGGCTTAGGGCTACAAATGAATAATCAAGTGACCCATGAATCCATCGAGTTTCGATTGTTTATTTGCTGTCAATAATGTTCTTGCTTCCTTTGCATAGCTTCTTAGCAATTTTAGGTGAAAAGAAGCAACCAAATAAACCATGACGGGGAGTTCTATCACCCTTTTCTTTTTCATAATTTTTACTTTTCCTCAACTTCCCAAAGAATCATATGGAATAACGGTGTTAATTTTCGTGTTTTTCTACTCCTTTCCCCGTTGCCAATTGATTATGGAAAGATAATAGACTCGTATCTTGGTGAATTTCAGCTTTGAAGGTATTAACCCATTTGATCAACTACTTCCTTCGAGATGGCCGGGCTATTGGCATTCAACAACCTCGCACCAAAGACTAAGAATTTGGTAGTTGCTGGGGGTTTGTCAGCTTTCGTCTTTGGTGTGTATTTCTATACTATGAGAGCGGTTGGAGGTACGGATGAGCTCCAGGTGGCCATAGATAAGTTCGAGGAGCAGAAAAAGCTAGAGGCAAAATCAAACAGGGAATGAAAGGCTTGAGCTCGTTACTCTTTCTGTCATAATGTATTCAAGAACAAGGTAATGGTAATTTGTATGACAGACAAAGTTATGTGGTTGAACTCTATGTTTTTGAATTGATTGTCTTTGTTGGTTATATACATTTATATATTCATATTACGGTTGATAATAATAAAAATGGCCTATTACCTAGTTTCTCCTTTGATTTAGTCTTCAAATTGATTGTTTATTGTTGGAAGAGCTTGGATGATGGATTGGAATTGGCCGACCTTTATTATTTGGTGGTGTGCAGTATAAGAGCTAGAGTTGCTGCAATGAAATCTGTTTTCCCAAGTTGTGTGATTGTTTTAGTAATCCGTCCTTCAAAAGGAAAAACAAAACTGATGATGTGATAATTTTTTTTTATTTAATGATGATGTGACATTATCTTATTGTTATACGTTGATATCTTTGTTAATTTGAAAAAAATAGTTGGGTGATCAAAATAGGATCATATAAATGAGTGATTAAATATATAATTTATCCTTTTTTTTATTTTTTTTGTTGCCGTCTTAGTTTTTTAAGATTTTATACTGATTAATCTGGATCGACTTTTGACAGGTGAGTTTTTCAACGGGGATTTTTTTAAATCCACAAGACCTCGAACTCGAGACTTGTTTAAATGATATCAATTCAAACAGTTTATTATTTAAACCAATCATGTTGGGTTTTTCATCATATTTTTAATTTGTCTTTTTGAATTATACGTACGTAAAAAAAGCTTCAATACTTTTTTGCAAAGATTTACTTCATAAAATAACAAGATTCTTTTTTAATTCTGTATTTTTATAAAATAAATTATTATATTAATTTATTTTTTAAATATATAAACCCTCAAACCCGAACAAATTTTCTACCTCCAGCACTAAAGACTATAAAGTATTTATACGTTTATTGTTAAACAATCGAGAATATTTAAAACAAAATTAGAACAATTTAAATCAATATACAATTTAAATAACAATATACGTAAAATAATATATAAAATCTAGAATAACTTAAATATAAAGCAATCTAGACAAAATAATATATAAAATCTAGAATAACTTAAATATCAAGCAATCTATACAAAATAATATATAAAATCTAGAATAACTTAAATAGCAAGCAATCTATACAAAATAATAAATAAAATCTAGAATAACTTAAATAGCAAGCAATCTACACAAAATAATATATAAAATCTAGAATAACTTAAACAGCAAGCAATCTACACAAAATAATATATAAAATCTAGAATAACTTAAATAGCAAGCAATCTACACTAAATAATATATAAAATCTAGAATAACTTAAATAGCAAGCAATCCACACAAAATAATATATAAGCCGTAGAATAACATTCAATTCAAGCACAAGTTAGAATATAACAGAATAGATTGAATTTTATCTAATTGATGCATCACTTGGGGTTTCGGTTCTAATGGATTATAAACATATATTTATATATTTAAATACTTTAAACTTGAATAGACCAAATGTGGTAGCTTCACAATCTTCCTTTCTATAGCTGTTGCAGCAAATCGAAATCGCCATCTTCATCTTAAAGCTGGACTTGTCTGTCAAATATCCAGCTGAATGGAACCTTGGGTGCTTGCTTGGCCCTTCCTTGAGCTCTCTCCTCCAGCTTTCAGATTCTCGGAGCATGTCCACACACATAATCCTGCGCTTTACGACCATCTGCTGAAAGTCCGGTTACCTCCGTCACCTTCCATTTGTTCACCGGGAACTCGAGTATATCAGCAGTCTCTGGCAGTGTAAACCCCGAGTCTTTGAGCAACAGCTGATAAATTATCGAAAAGGTTGTCGTCTCAGCCATCGTACATCAAGTGTGCCGGCATGGAGATTTTCGTGTCGGCAAATGCCTGGACTGTTGCATCAGGATCAATCTCAAAGAGCTTTTCAACGACTTTAGTATACGCAGTGTCTTGCCGCTTTTCATCCGAGGCGATGTTGCTGCATATTTGAGCCAAATTGATATCACCGGGCCGTATTCCCGTGGGAGATGAAAGTTGCCCTTTCTTGGAATGATGTGTAGATGAGACCCAGATATGGGTTATTCTCTGTACGTGGATCCTATAAAATCACATAAGAATAAAATTAAAGAAATATGACAATCTTGCATGCATGTTTTGCAAAGGATTCGATAAAGTTTAAATACAAGCACATCAAGGTGTTAATCCAAATCAGAAGATGAACAGAACAGCATTCGATAAAATTTCCCATGTTACTCACCATCCCCGATCCAATCAAATACTGGATCGTCTTCTCGATTTGCCTCATGTCAACTCTCCCAGACAAGTAGAGATACTTATTAAGTAGGTCGCCGTGCCTGTTTTCTTCCGCTGTCCGTGCCCTTATCCAAATCACCCAAGGAGTAAGGCTAGCGCCCGTTTCATCTCAAACTCCTTCGAGGGTATTAAGCATGGTTTGGTAAGTTGGAAGAGCTTCCTCCGTGATCATATCACCAACCAAAACAACAAAGTAATCATCAGGTATCTCCTTTGCCCTTTCCCTACGCTCTTTGACTTGGTCTCATAAGATCCATCCGATGTAGGATCGGGAAGAAAATTGTGGGGTTGCCAACATTTCTCGACCGGTTTGAGGTAATTTAGAATGTTGTTCTCAGCCCAGTCCTCCAAAGTTTTGAAGATCTCAATCTTCCGAGGTGGCATCGAGTGTGTGACCTGAACATGCACCTCCCTAGGCGGCATGAAAGGCCTTTTGAGATTGTCGACCTCCCTGCGTGAAGTAAAATGAATTTGGGATTATGTTCTTATCGATCAGACACGTCAGTAAGGGTTAAAAGGAAACAATAAATCAAAATGGGAAGGTCACAACAAACGCAAGGAAAAGTGCATCAAACAAACAAGCGAAAACGGATAGATTGAGAATGGACCACAAAGATGCCAAAAACTGATACCAGGAAGAAAGCTAAAGAAAATTACTTTAAACCTTTTTCCATTCAGCCATGCTTAACCATTACAAGGATTACCGTCGAATTCGCTTGACATGGTAAGGGAAGGGAAGGGAAGAATGTCGAAAGCATCGAAACTTAGTTCAGTACTTATTCTTGTCAAACACATACAAAATGGTAAACTCAAAGATATACTAAGAATATAAGGTACCACAACAAATTCTAAACCACTTTCACCAAATTGCAGATTCAATTCTATTTTTAGAACAATAAGATGAAGTTTCTTAAAGGACAAACAAGGAAAAATTATTCTATTCATCAGCATGTCTAGAGAATCTAAACAACTTCCACCAACTTGAATTTTCTTTTCAAAGATAAACTCAACCATATTGAAACAAATGGAAAATCGAAAGACTCTTTTTCGTCGAGCATTCACGTGTTCCGAAATCGAGTTAAAGCAGCACACGCAATGATATAACATATCATGGAAAATCTATTTGCTTCCAAGTATGAGCACATGCAGTGACAGGCAAAGATGAAGCAAAACTCATTAGATATTTTACATCTTTCGTTGAAACCGGGTGAATATTAGATAGTATATGTTCGAAACATTCTCAATCATTTGACAATAAACACTCGTACACTCGTCATGCATGCTAGGTGCTCGAACTTAGAGCCACAACAACAATCCCTTAACCTCGGGCTTAAACATGACACACGGTCCCTCTTTCACTCTCAAATTCATAGCAGGCGATGATTCGAATGGAGCACAAAACCGAGTCTAATACCAACTTCTCAAAGTCTCAATTTTGATAATGAAAATGTAAACCACCCACCAAACATGCAACCACAAAAACATCAAAAGTAAAGATGATAGGTACATAAATTCATGAAAATGACAAAAAAAATATTGAAAGAAATGTGCTTTTCTTATTATTGAACCTTGATTAGAAAAAATAACATCTGAAAAAATATATATATATAAAAGAACCAATAACAATGAACTAGAAAGTACAAATATTTAATAAGAAATAAACATTGTTTCAGTGGTTTATAAATTGAAATCATCATCCCAAACGGAAAAGAACAACGTTAAAAACCATTACACAAAATGAACACTAAGATCATAAGCTATACCAAACAAAAGAGAGCAAGAACCGTGTTAGTTCGCAAAAACAACAGAGACCCAAATGCAAAATCAGCAAAAAGAATCCAAGTTTCGACAAGAAAATATTGAAGATGCAACAATGAATACAAAGGGAAATTTAAAGAGACATACTTGGAACCAGAACGAAGAGTGGAGGCCATGAAGAACTTGGGAGATCGGAGGCTTGCCCTTGGAGGAAGAGCAAATGAAGGCAGTTTGTGAGATTGAAAAGTGATGGGGTTGAATTTGAGAGCCATTTTCGTTTTTTTATTCTGGTATTTTGGAGGGTTTAAGAGCTTTTTGTTTTGGTTTGCGTCATCGAGCTTTGGCAGCTGCACTTTCCTCCTCAGAAAGTGAAAGCCAAACTACTCGAAAGAAGCATATAGCCTACTTCTTAACGGACACGGAATTGGTTCTGTTTAACATTACCCTTTACTTTCGTTTCAATTCTTCAAGGATTTATTGTTCTGCTTCGAAATATTTGGAATTGTTGCAATACGAAGATCCATCACAATAAAGTTCAACCACTTTAGATCCTAGTTCTTAATACCCGAATATTGCACGGAGAGTTCTTAGCGGCTAAGAAGCAAGCTCTAGGACAAATGCATCGCGTGCACTCCTCCTCAGCGCGCTCGTTGCAAGTATCGACTGCTCGTTGGCTTCCCCCGATCTAGATTATGTTAAAATTAATGTAGATGGGGTCTTTGACCCTCAACGAAAGTTGGCTGCCGTTGGTGTTTTACTCGGGACTCCGTAGGTTTACCGTTGGATGGTATGGTTTTATCGCCATCCATTTGCATTGAACGGTTTAAAGTTTACTCAAGAAAACCATTGGCACCAAGTTGTGTTTAAGATTGATTCGACAATGTTGGCTAATAAATTGTCTCGTGATGTGGTATATTTGTCCACTTTAGGATTTCATCTGGCTAAAGCTCGATCCAATGTATCTTTCAAAGTTGCTTTTGTCCCTTGTATTTGTAATAAAGTGGCCCATGAGTTCTTATCCTGGACACTTAGATTAGGGAATGTGTTGTTTTTTTTGACTCGGTTTGCCCGAGGTAATTGTTTCTGCTGTAACTCATGACATTGATCTTGATTAATATATTTTGTGGGCAAGCTTTTTCCCTTGTAGGTGCAAGGAGTTTTTAATGAGGGTATTTTCTTAAAAAAAGTACTTTTTAAATGGTAAATCACTCGTTTAGTACCTAAATTATTAATTTTTTTCAAAACCACATCTAACATTTAGTTTTTGTTTCATTTTTAGTATATCGCGTTAAAAACTTAATTGCACAACTTTTTTATGGGTAAATTACATCATTCGTCACTCAACTATCTTCTCGCTTCTATTTTAGAACTAAATTTTAAAAAAATCAATTTAGGATAAACTATGTATTTAGTACCTAAACTATTAGTTTTGCTCCACTTTAGTACCTAAACTTTCAATCTTTGTCAAAATCTACCTAACATTTAGTTTTTGTTTCGTTTTAGTATCACACCGTTCAAAACTTAACTCGCTTAGTATCTAAGCTATCAGTTTTGGTCCGTTTTAATATCTAGAATTTCAGTTTTTCTCAAAACTTAACTGAATTTTGAACGAGGTCCTAAAATGAAACAAAAACTAAAATTTAGGTATGGTTTTGAGAAAATTGAAAGTTTGGGTACTAAAACAGACTAAATCTGATAGCCTAGGTACTAAAAGTGTAATTTATTCTTCAATTTAACTACTCAACTTTCAAATTGCTCTTATTTTAATCACTCTAATTTTTTTTTTAATAATTTTAGTGACATGACATTTTTATTATTATTTTATTAATATATAATGAATTTTTTTTGAAAGTTAGAGTGATTAAATTATGAGTAATTTGAAAGTTAAGCAATTAAATTAAAAAAAAAAAAACTTTAGTGACCGCAATAAGAGTGAGAATATAGTAGAGTGACGAATAATGCAATTTATCCATAAAAAGGTGCCACGTGAAAAACACTGTTAACTTTTTAACGACGAGGTACTAAAACGAAATAAAAACTAAACATTAAGTATGGTTTTGAAAAAAATTGAAAGTTTAAGTACTAAAATGGGCTAAAATTATTAGTTTAGGTACTTAATGAATAATTTACCATATTTTAAATGGTAAACTACCTCTTTGATATATCATCTATTTGAATTTTTGTTTTAGCCATTCAATTAATTTTTTAAAAATAAATTATATTTAACTTTATGTTTTATTTTGATGTTTATCATTATATTTGACCATCAATTTAACGAAAATGATGATGTAACATGATATAAGTTAATATTTTTCTCTTTATTTTCTGACTTATCGTAGTCCCTTACCTTTAAACCCTAACTCGAGTCTCTCACCCATCGTATCCCAAAAACCCCCCAAGACCATCTACCTTCCTTCTATCCCTCAGCTCATTCCGCACGTTTGAGCACCCTAGCCCTCATCCGGACCATCCTAGCTCCCCAAACTCGAACTACTTGATGGTACAAGCTATTGATGATAGTCAGAAATATGATCATTTTCTTCGAACAACAAGAAGTATGTTATATGTTGTTATCATCGATGTAGCTGTAGTCACAGGTACAGTTTCAAATGCCATTGTAAAACCTCCAACGAATCCCACTGTTGATACTACAATGAAGGCAAAATTATATATATATATATCATGAATAATAGACTTGTATTTGAATATCTAAGTCCTTTATTCATTTGCTTTTTTTAAAAAAAAATCATATTAAAATTATTAATTTACGAAATTAGGATATGTAATAGTGGACTCCTATTTATAGAAACGATATAGAATTCAGGTTGTTACTACTTACTGCATAACATAATCCCGTCAAAAGCTTGGTACAGTCTGCATACATGATAAAATAGCGGTCCCTTATTATAATAGTGATCGTTATAGGTGCCGTCCGAAACTGTTATTGTACAACTACAATACCCACAACAACCGTAAAATATCCGTTATTGTCACAATCACGGTTAACGTGATCGAAAACATGACCGCGATCGCGATAAACACAATCGAAAACACGATAACAACCGTAATCTAAATCTATGATTGCCATTGATGGGGTTAATTACCTTACTTTTTCACAGCTTGTAGCATTCGGTAAGAGATTTACCATCTGATTTGGATAAATATCTGGCATAATATTCCTTTAACACAAAGTCTTTGTATCGAGGAGGATCAGGCTCGGATGTCAACTCACTGATTGGGCTGAACGTTTTGTGAAGCAAGCTTACATGTCCCGAGAAAGAGCTGGACACTGTAATTCTTGGTCCTGCATTCTTGTTTACTGCCCTGTGCCTCACACTCTTCAACTTGCCATTCGATACAATCTGCCATATAAACTACTACTTATGAGCTTAGTGGCTATTTTGGAAACAAAATGAAATTAGAATATAGAATTGTAAAACCTGAAGAAGATCTCCGATGTTTACGATCAGTCCCCCTCGAGTGGGGTGAACATCTAGCCATTGACACTGGTGAAGGACTTGGAGACCGTCGATTTCGTTCTGCAAAAGCACGTTCAAGAAGCCAGGATCCGTGTGTTCTTTCAGTCCCAAAGTGAGTTCCGGTTGGGGACAAGGGGGATAGTAGTGGCACACGATGCTACACCCTTTGCTGCCCCCCATCGAGCCGAGGTGGTCCGATCGGAGCCCGAGTGCCTCCGATAGCAACTCGAATAGCGTTTCCCCTAGTCTTTTGATATGCTTTACATACTCCATGGTTGAGTTTCTGAAGATTGTGTTAGAAAAACACAAGTCCGGGAAAACAAAAGGGTAAATTACGTGTTTAGTATACAAACTATCAATTTTGATCCGTTTTAATATCTAAACTTTAATTTTTTTTTCAAAAACATACATAAGTTTAGTTTTTCTTTTCATTTAATACACCGTTCAAAATTTAAAACTAAACTTTGATTTTTTTTAAAAAAATTAGGTACTAAAACGGACCAAAACTTGATAGTTTGGTATTAAATGTGTTAGGTTTATAACGTTGAGTACTAAAATGAAACAAAACTAGATGTTAGATACGATTTTTAAAATTTTAAAAATTTAAGTATTAAAATAAATCAAAACTGATAGTGTAGGTACTAAATGTATATTTTATTCAAAAATAAAAAATTAAAGATAAAATACACAAATAGTCCCTCAACTATTTGGTATGTTGTTTTGTTGAGTTATCTTACTATTAAAAATTATAAATTGGTCTCCTAATTATAAGGTTATTGCTTTATTGAGTCCTCAATTATTGAAAGTTACAAAATGATCACTCGATTATTTATATGTTTCAAACTTATACTTTTTATTAATGTTTTAACGACAGCTTGAGCTGGACGTTAACATACTGAATGTGATATAATAAAATTTGATCCCAAGATCTCAAACGATTATCATATTTCAATCAATAGCTTAACATACAACTCAAATTGTAATCAAATTTTTAACGAAAAATGATGAGTTTGAAATATATTAATAATCATGTGATCATTCTGTAACTTCTAATAGTCGATAACTCAACAAAACAACGTCCTATGATCGATGGACCATTTTATAACTTTTCATATTCAATGATTCAACAAAACCACATCATTCTATAATCAGAGGACCATTAGTGTACTTTATCCAAATAATAATAATAATAAACTAGTATTATTATTGAATCGAACAAAACATAATAAATATAGAACTAAAATATGAATAAACATATCTCACATTTGATATTCCACTAACATTTTAGTACTCTAGTCTCCAAAATTGGTTCATGCATGATATAATATTATAAATATCTCATAAAATAAAATATAAAATCATAGTTTTATATATTGAATCTCTAGTTCCATCAATCGAAAATATACTCAAATTTTTGAAACTATATTTATGATTGAAACCATATGATCGAAAGATTTTAGGATAAACTACACATTTATTACTTAAATTATTAATTTTAGTATATTTTAATATTTAAACTTTCAATTTTTTAAACATTTAGATTTTATTTCATTTTGATACCCTTTAAAAATCTAAATCGAACACTAATCGCTTTAAGTTTTTAATGACATATTAAAATGAAACAAAAATTAAATGTTAGGTATGATTTAAAAAATCAAAAATTTAGATATTAAAACAAGACAAAACTGATAATTTAATACTAGACGTATAATTTACCCAAGATTTTATAGTAGTAAATGAGACGAGTGTGTATACTTGTACATACCTGCAAACTGCTGGGATTTCGTTGGGGTCAAGATCGGAACGGAAGGAAGAAAGGAAAAGCGTGTCCCTCCAATCGGCAATTTTCGATGTATACAAATCAGCGTAGGAATTGAATCTCACCGTCTTCGTGGTGTCGTGGCTGTAGATCTCTCTCTTCAACCCCAGATCTTGCTCGTTAAACAAACGCACCCCGTCGATCATCTCATCCATCGCGTTCAAAGGGATCCCGTGATTGGTTACTTGGAAAATACCCCACTCTTTTGATGCCGCCTTAATTTGGTCCACCGTCTCCTTACGCCGGCTTCCGCCGGCTTCCGTGCCGCTGAGATCGACAGTGGGAATTTGATTGTTGTTGTTGTTGTTTGTGTGGGTGGGATTGATGATGAGTTCCTGGGCAAGCTCATCTGCTGGTCGTATGAACATCTTGGGGACGTTTACGATTCCAGAATCTACAAGTCCTTTAACACCGGCTTTTGTGTCATCGAATTTCTTCAGCTCCTTGCTTCTGCTGTAATCTGCCATTTTTCTCCAGATTTTGATGGAGTTCTTCAATGAGGACTCCAGTCAAGGAAGATAAGTGTCAGGACCTACCCCTCATCCTTTTACACGTTTAGACTTTAGGTGTGTTTGGTCGATTAGATTACTTGTAGGGCTATTTTGCCGGAATAATGCATACGGGGAGGTTTAATTCCCCAAATAATGCACTTTAATTATTATTTTCCCATTGCTATAGGAAATATGGAAAGCTCGGCGTCTTCAGATGGAGCTGTCGTCGTCTTCAACTTGGATATCCCGGCGTCTTCAGCAGATGTAGAAGCGTGGGAGCTGTGCATGTATGATTGATCTCTCGGCGTCTTCAGTTGGATTCTTCATAGGAACTCTCGGCGTCTTCAGTTGGATTCTTCGTAGGAAATCTCGGCGTCTTCAGTGCTGTGCATGGGACTGGACGTGAGAAATCACGGGTTCTGCAAGGAGAGAGCACGGGTTCTGCAAGGAGAGAGCACGGGTCCTGCAGGGCTGCACGTCTGCATGTGTGGGTCCTGCTCGTCTGCATGTGGGGGGCATGCAACTGTTGGATTTCTCGGCGTCTTCTTTACATTTAGGTAAGGATTTCTCGGCGTCTTTGCATGGAAGGCTGGATAGCTCGGCGTCTTCTTAACAAATAAATCCAATAATGCATGGATGAGTTACGAATGTGTTTATAAGAGAATGCTCGGGCTGAGGCAATGTGAGAGTTTGGGGCTGAGGCAATTCACAATTACAGAAGCAGTGAGAGCTTGAGAGGGAGATTGATCAGCAGTAAGATCACAAAGCATAGCCTGAGGTAATTTAAACTCAAGCCCTAGATCTCATTTGATTCTTGTTTTAAAGGTTTAGGGTTTCATATTGATCTCATAATTTTAGTTTCATAAGTTTATTAATTTTGTGATTATATGTTGTTACACTCTGAAATAATAATTTATATGTTGTTACATAATTTGAAATAAGGTTGGGACCATTTTGGAACATTGTAAAGTTTTAGGGACCATTTTGTAAAATTTAAGGAATTTAAGGAATAAGAGTAAATTATTAAAAGTTGCTATACTATGCTGGAATTTAGTATTAGTATGCTTAATTGGTTAAATTAGAAAGAATTTAAAATTTATGGATTAAATTGCTAACTTTGAAAATGTTGAGAACCAAATAGTAATTAGGGATCGTTTTGCAAAATTTGAGGAATTTAAGAAATTAGAGTAAATTATAAAAGTTGGTATACTATGCTTGAATTTAGTATTAATATGCTTAATTGGTTAAATTTGAAAGAATTTATAAATTTAGTGATTAAATTGCAAAGTTTGAAAATGTTGAGAAGCAAATAGTAATTAGGGATCATTTTATACTTGATGTTTATTTTTTATTAAAGTAGATAACATGCAATTGATTATTTGAATAAAACAATGTAATAATTGAGTGTAATATTTAATTTTTTTTTGTCTAGATTTGTTGAAACATGGCCGAAGAAAATGTTCTTTTGAGGCTAGATGGTCGACACATTTCGAGTAATTTGGGAGAACTGGTAATATGATCGACTTATTTTTTTATTTGAGAACGGTGTATTAATTCTAATTACAATGACTAATAAATTGCAGGATGACGAACAACGAGTCCTTCGTCCTCGACTTATCAACTGTGAGATGCCAGATCAACGTATTGTTGATAATTTGAAAACAGTGGGTTTTTATGATGTTGCTTTTGTAAGAGAATTTCGGTTGATCCCCGGTTTGATAAGTGCATTAATTGAAAGGTGGAGACCAGAAACTCATACTTTTCATCTTCCATGTGGTGAATGTACGATCACTTTGGAGGATGTGGCTTTACAACTAGGGGTTCCTACAAATGGAATGGCAGTGGTTGGAAATACAGATCTTGACATGTTTGCAATATGTGAGCGTTATCTTGGGAAGGTACCAGACAAAGATGTAGCGAAAGGGTCACGGCTGAGATTATCCTGGTTGGCAAATGAGTTTAAGCTCGATCCACAATGTAGTGAGCGAGACATTATATATGCAACTCGAGCATATATATTACGTTTGATCGGCGGAATCTTGATGCCAGATAAATCCAGTAATCTTGTCCATATACAATATCTTCCGTTTTTGGAGAACTTCTTTATGACCCGTCAGTATAGTTGGGGATCAGCAATATTGGCATTCTTGTATCGCGAGATGTGCAAGGCATCATTAATTGTTAATGATGCGTACACGACTGAAATCGGTGGATGCACGATGTTATTACAATCGTGGGCGTGGTACAGAATTCCATGGTTAACATCGATTAGCCGAACTGCAGTTGACTTTCCTCTTGCCGGAAGGTAATTTTATTGATTTAAAATATTTTATCTTTAATTAAATAAAGAATATTTTTGTAAATGAAAAATAATTACAAAATTTTATTTTGATTGGTATACAGATGGAGGCATAAAATAGAAAGAACGGGGTTGGCGCACAACAACGTGAAAGAGTTTAGGTTTAAGATTGATATCAAATGCAAAGTTGAGGTATATATAAAATTAATAAGTGAATTTATTTTTTATTATGTTTATATTATAATATTGTTATTTATTAATTTGTTGATTTTTATAATTATTTAATTAAATAATAACTATATAATTTTATTTTATAGTTTATTTGGAGGCCGTACCATGATCAAGAAATTATGTCGTGTGTACCGCAACATGTCTGGGAGGGTTGTGAATATTGGTGTGCTGTTACACCATTGATCCATTTCATGTTTGTGGAGTTCCAATTTGCCGATAGAGTGTTGAGGCAGTTCGGCTTCCACCAACATATTCCAGTCATTCCAGAGAATCATGATGCTCTCCATCGATTAGATGGGCGGGGTAGGGTCGGTGAGGATTGGTCGGTGAGGCATGCTAACCATATCAATCATTGGAACAACAGGGGTTCATACTTGCCAACGCTCACTCCCATACAACCAAATGACTTTGACTTCAAGAGTTCGGATTACCTGAATTATTTTTGGGAACATGGAAAGCCGTTCTTGACAACGATCAGAGAAAGGCGACAATTTATAGAGTATACCAAAAAATTCGATAAACCCGAGAAACCAAGAAGGACTGGGAGTGGGAGTGGGAGTTCTTCTCACCGTGGAGCAGAACAAGAGACAATGGATAATATCCCACCAGAATCTTTTGATCACACAAGATCATTTAGTCAAATGGTTGGTGATTCTGGTGTTACGCCCTACACTCCTCAGCATGTTCCTCATCAATCACTCATGTTCCCTCCTATGTTTGGGGCAACAAATGATTTTGATCAGATGACATATATGATCACAAGTACGAGTGTTTGTCCTCAGATGGGAGAGCATAGTGGTGGTGGGCATGTATTTACAACACCAGATCCTATGCCCTCGATGAATGAGCAGGTTGGTTATGCTGAACAAACTCCTGAACAAGTGCAACGACAACAACGAAACCGACGTGGGCCTCGACATTATTACTCAACAACACCCCGACACCGACAAGAGTTGTAATCCTTATTTTAATTATTTGTATCAAATTAAAGTAATTGAATCGAATATATTTACTATTATTATATCAGTAAATATAAATCATTAAAGTCAAGTAATTATTATTAAATCATTAAAATTAAGTAATTATTATTAAATTATTAAAATTAAATCATTAAAGTAATTATTATTAAATCATTAAATCATTAAATCATTAAAGTAATTATTATTAAAGCATTAAAGTTAAATCATTAAAGTAATTATTATTAAATCATTAAATCATTAAAATAATTATTATTAAATCATTAAATCATTAAATCATTAAAGTAATTATTATTAAATCATTAAAGTTAAATCATTAAATCATTAAAGTTAAATCATTAAATCATTAAAATTAAATCATTAAAGTAATTATTATTAAATCACTAAAATTAAATCATTAAAGTAATTATTATTAAATCATTAAAGTTAAATCATTAAAGTAATTATTATTAAATCATTAAAGTTAAATAATTATATTTAAATCATTAAAGTTAAATAATTAAATTTAAATAATTATTATTAAATATGTACTCGAGTAATTGAATCGCATATAATATAAAAATTTATAAAATAATAAGATTACTGCTGAGGTCTATACTGTGGAAGGTTTGGACAATTTCTTTTTGAATGCCCTTCACCTCTACATAATCCACACCTCTTCGGTTGGCCTTTCTCTCTAATATGTATATCCATACTGGTATGAATACGAGTAGATTCCGGTCGACCCGTTGGACTTCTACGAAGTAGTGGATTTGGCAACCATTCATCATGATCTCGATTGTCCCAATAAGATTCATTTGGGATCGGTCTGAACTCATGGTTGTATATATTTAATATCCTCTGTAGGTGAAAGCACTCATCAACATAAGTGTATGAATTGATTCCAGTATGCATACATGCAGCGACTGCATGAGCACACGGATATCTCCACGCCTGAAAGCGGCCACAATCACACCATCTTTGTCGTAAATTAACAGTAAATGATTCTCGATCAGCTCCTTCGTTGCGACGTATGCATGCGATGACAACAAAAGTATGTCCAATTCGATCGAAGTCATGAACAAACATTGAGGTTGCCATACGCTTATTTGCTTCCATTGCTTCTACCACCGCCGGAGCCTAGATTTTACCTCGATTTATCAGACACTCGATCTCTTTCCCTTTATCAGACCAAACTTTAGCCAACCTAAAGTATGTCTCTTTCACCACACTCGCTATTGGGAGATGTCGTGTACCTTTTAGTACTGAATTAATGGCCTCAGCAAGGTTTGTAGTCATGTGTCCGTATCTCCGACCACAATCGTATGCTTGCGACCACTTCTCCCGCTCGATTTTCGACGCCCATTTCCAAACACGCTCATCTATGGCCTTCAAATCCTCCAATCTCTTGTCAAAATTTGGTTGGCGTAGTTCATATCCTGTTTCAAAATAGATATTGTGTTAAAGTCAATTTATAAACAAACACATAAATGAGTACAAATGCTGAAAATAAAACTTACCCATGCTGACTATCTCCCTACGAATACGGCCGTTGTGAAACTTCTCAATACAATTCTTACCAA